AGGATTTTCTGTGTTGCAGCTTGTTTGTTGCTTCCTGTTCTGTCACTGCCTACATATGAGGAGGGTTGGATTGTATTTTGTCCGGTATCACCCCTGGCCTAACACAAAATTGCTGAGGGAGGAGATGGATATGAGAATTGCAAGGGTAGTAAATGGAGAACTACAAATAGCACGCTGATAAAAATGAAAATGTCTGTGGACAAGCTGTCTTGTGCTTTATTTCTAAAAGTCAAAAAAATCCAAGCCGTAGAATGCATAGATAATGTTGTAAAAATGGGCAAGAAAATCCAATTTTTGAATCTGATTGGTGTATTTTTAGTTTAATATACTAATTGACAGAGGACTTCTTTTTATACTGTGAGAATGGTATTTTTATGCAGTATTTTAGAAAAGGGCTAGTCTGGCACTAGCTACAGTTGCTAGCAGCCTATAATGCTGGCTCTGTGTTTAGAAAATGATGGTAATTTATTACAAAGAGACTTTTATTCTAGTGTTTTTAAGCTCACAGCCTCGTGTGTAATGAATCTCTGCTTGGGCTCGTTGAATTAATGTTCTCCCCTGCCCCATTTTAACCGCTAAGCTACCGCCGTTCTCGCTGTGACTCCAGAAGCCGTGCTTGGTCTGTGGAATAGCCAGCTTAGCGCACGGTGCTGTGCCTCGGCGCGGACGAGATCTGGAGGCTTTCTGTGGAAGCCACCCAAGGCTCGGTGTGCACGAGTCTTCGTGATCGGAAACGGCAGCTGAGTGATGGAGGATGCCTTGTAAGCTGTCAAGCTGAGAGTTCAAACCCAGTCAATGTGACTCCAGAAGCCGTGCTTGGTCTGTGGAATAGCCAGCTTAGCGCACGGTGCTGTGCCTCGGCGCGGACGAGATCTGGAGGCTTTCTGTGGAAGCCACCCAAGGCTCGGTGTGCACGAGTCTTCGTGATCGGAAACGGCAGCTGAGTGATGGAGGATGCCTTGTAAGCTGTCAAGCTGAGAGTTCAAACCCAGTCAAAATTCATTGTGCTGAACATGGCATGTTTGTTGGAAGTGGGCAGGCTCTTAAACACTTCTGCTCTGAAGCGTGGCTTGCTAGGTCTTCCTGGAGAACAGCCTGCCTCCAGGTTCAGGGAGTAGTGTTTGTATGCGATGGGGGAGAGTACAATGATACATGGCTTTTCCTTCTGCTTGAATGGAATCAGAAATACGTGACTCGCTTTCTGCCATAGCGATCTTCACCTTCTGCGCCTCAAGTGAATCTTGAACAAGAAGGCTTGTAAGAAACCGGATTTCCATTCCTAAAACAAACCTAAAGTACTTGTTCAGTTTAGATGTCATTGCTTTCCAGTCCCTCAAAACAGTTGCATGTGACCGTATTGTGCAAGTTACCTTCCATGAGTTTTCTACCAGCTCCAGCGGAACCGGCGTTAAGAATAAGGACGTACTACTTGTTCATGAGGTCTTCCTGTTCCAGCTTCCTCTTTTTGAGACTAAAAGGCACTAACTGGTACCCATCGTGTTTTTGTGCTAACGGCAAACAGTTGCGCTCATCTCTTACTCCATCAAGTAATGCTGTCCCGAAACTGTGTTCTTTGGGTGCAAGTTGCTTTACTCACAGAACCTGTTAATTATCTGATACATGACTCTGCACAGGTAGGGGCTTTCAGGCTTGGGTCACTTCTCTGGGTCAGGAGCAGAGGTCTTGGCTGTGACAATTTGCTGCCACTGGTTCCTGGAGGAACGCAGGGTGGGTGGGATCTTACAGTTGACACCTTGTTCCTCAGCAGCGTGGCAGGGTCTTGGAGGAGTTTTGGAACAGCTGGCGGTTTAGACGTGGCTTCAACGAAGCCTGCTCCGCCGGCGGCTGGAGATGCTGCTGCAGAATGAATGGTCGTGGCAGAAAACTCACTTGCACAAGTTTTGCTCAAGCAGTCAGCTGCTTAGTTGTGTACTGGCACTACAGGGCCAAGTTGTCTTTTCAGCATATTTAATTAGCCCTTATTAACACTTCTCCAAGAAGTCTCTTGTAGTAGTCTAGGACTGAAAACCAGACAGGTTATTCTACAAGAGAGGGCTCATTGTATAAAATACCTTTGAACCCAAGAGCATTCCCTCCTGTAAGTTCTTAAATCCAGCTTTAAGTGATCCGTAAGCCTGCTCTGCTTCAGGAATGGAGATGTTCTCCCCTGGCCTATTAGACCTCTCTCCCGTGGGAGAACATATGAGTTTTATTTGCAGACTTGAAATTTCACTTGGACTGGTCTTTGGGACCTCCTTGGAAGAATATAAATCATCTTTGTTATTTTGGGGGACAAAATGAGTCTTCCTTTTGGGCACAGTGTATCAGGCAGATCATTCTGGGTGAGAAGTAGCATGGATGTTGTGCTGATTTTTTTAATTTTTTTTTTTTAGGGGCTCTGAATTTTGTTCGTGCTTTAGTTGAAGTTGCTGGGCGTTAGCTGTGAAAGTGATGTGTGCAGCTCAGAAGGGTTCAGTCATTTAAATTTTTTAAAAAAGTTAAAGTAGTCGAGTCATCCTTTGAAAATGTAAGAACAAGCTGTTTTACTAATGGTAGCTCTAGACTGCTAACTTTGGAACCTTCCTCAAGTCACATCAGAAGTGGGTTTCCATCAGATGTGCTGGTCCCAAAATAAACTTGGCTGGATTTTTTAAAAATGTGAAACAAAAGATGTATTAAGGGAGAGCTGAGCATTAGATTTTGGGCACTTTTCCTTGTGTTATGATGTTCTAGCTAAATTCTTGCGTGGCTGAAGTCTGTCACGTGGAACTGTCGGTGTGTTTTTGGGTTTCTTAAGCAGAAATACTTTAGAAAGGAGATGTGGCTAGAGAATCAAGCGCTGTTAAGCACTAAGGGCTAGGCAGCTTAGTACTGATGTCAGTAAACCACCCCCGTGGTGTCTTCAGAGGCACGTGGTTTCAGAGAATCGCTGGTGTGGTGCTCCAAGGAGGGTTGTGATGCCAGGAGGCAAGGAAGACCCCAGATGGCTGTAGCAAACATGAGTATTGTGAACAGTTAATGCTGTGGGGCTCCACTTATCAGATGGGACAATCTCCACGTTGATGTGTTACGATTCCTAGCACAGCTGAAGTTTTAAGGTCACGTTTTCATATAAGTTCGCCTTAAATTCTTCATTTGAGAATTTTAAGGGCAAAACCTTGGGCCCCACCTACAACAGTCAGTATCCTTGCTGTGTTAATCCCAGTTAATTTACTGCTACACATGGGTCAGCTATCTAGAAATGCGTCTGAGCAAACTATACTGCTTTCCTGTGCTGCTGTCGCTATTCCTCTGTGACAGGTGGGGACCCTTTGATCAGTATAAGGCATTTTCCGCACCAGCTAAACGCAGGATACCCTAAGGTTTGAACCAGCGTAGCTGCCTGGTGGAAATGCACGGCCTGACTGTTGCATAGATGGGACTCGAGACGGTGCGCGTCAGGCCAGTCACAGAGTCAGTCTTTGGTGAGCTTATTCCAGGCACTACAAGATCCACAGTACCCAGACTGGAGAGCGAAGGAGGAGAGATTTGGACAACAGTGAGAAATTAAAGGAAAAAGAAAGATTTCGGCCTTGCCTCCTGGTTGTGTTCCACAGGCGTCACAGCAGAAGTCTGTAGGGCAGTAAGGCGTCCACGCGTGTATGTGTGTGAAGCCCTCCCAGGTACGTGCAATAGCACGGAAGAAGGCGTGAAGGAACGTACTGAATTGTCAGGGAGGAACAACATATCCACGCTGCATAACAAACTGGTAGGTTAAGAAGAGACGTTGAAGGCCAAGCTTCTCTGTGCAGGAGCAGAGACGGCCAGGAGAGGATAGAGCTCAGGTCAGTCAGGTGTGTGTTTTCTCAACAGACGTGAGCAAGGTGTGAAGCACTGCCACGTCCTTTTCTCTGTCGTTGGGCCCTACGATGGGGCTAGATTAAACCTGCACATTTAATCAGTGTCTTTGCTGCTGTATCTGTGGTCTAGTTGAGGCAGAAGAAAACGGAGACACGGCATTGTAGTCATAATCAAAGTTGATGACGGGATACAAGAAACATTATGTGGGCCCAAAATGTGTATTTGAAGAGAAGACAGAATGTTAACTTAACCGTCAGTACTAAAAAAGCTTAGTAGCTTTTGGAAGAAGCGAGGGAATGTTCTTTTTTTCTGTTAAAAAAAAAAAAGCCTCCAATAGGCTGGCATCAGCTTTATTCTTCATCGATCAAGGGCTCTGTTGGGTAGGCTTTATGGGAAGGTCAGGGATGGGTTGGGTAGGTCAGAGGTGTCTGGAAATGTTGCTAATGAGTAGCTGTAAAAAAAAAACACTTCTGTGAACTGTTCCTCAAAGTGCAAGTATGACCAAAAAAAATTGTACTTCGAGAGTCTGTTCTCATTAAGAGAATGCAGAATTTTCTTGAGAAATCTCCTTCAAACAGCTGTAGTATCACTTCTGTCTGGTTAAACGTGAGACCATATGGCACAGCACCAACTTGGGTGGTTGGTGATAACGAATTTTTACACACTGCTTTCTACCTGCAAAGCCAGAAATTTCTCGGAAAGCTCTGAATCGGGTACTTTCTGCGAAAGCTTCTACCTGGACTGGTCTTGCTTTTGGTTTGGTGGTTTTTTTGGTTGGGTTTTTGTTTGATTTGTTTTCATTTTTTCTTTAAATGTCATCCCTACTTCTTGATAGTTGACTCAAACGTACAAAATGAAGGTATATGCTATTTGTACTAAAAACTGTCATGAAGGTAAATAACTGTGGATGTTTTATCAAGGCTATACCAGAATCTTCTAAATGCACTTGTGTGTTTTTTGTCATCTGGTACTTCTTCCAAGCAATTCAGCTTTAAGTGATGTGGTTTTGTATGTGTGTGGTTAAGTTATTTCAGGCAAAACCAAAATACGGAAAACAAAATATTGTACCTACTGTATCAGATAGGTGTGTAGGTTTGTGTAATTGACAAATTTGAGTCCTTCCTCTTACACTGAATTTTGTCTTTGTTTTTACAGGAAATAATGAAAGAAGTGTGCCACAACTCTTGATCAGAGACTTGAAATTTGAGAAGTCATTAGCTAAGCTCATGTTTTCTCCTGATCAAGACAATCATCCGTCAAAAGCACCAGTAAAATATGGTGAATTGATTGTGTTAGGGTAAGTGTTTGTCTTGGTTGAAAGTGAGAATGAAGGTGGAATTTCAGGGTGCACATAAAGCAGATAAAATGCAGGTTGCTGTGAGAGATGGTCCCACAGCCTCTCACTCGAGCTCCCCCTTTCGCAGTGTATGTAGTTTAGTGTGCAACTTAATGGTGAATTGATTAGCTTTTCTTTGATCTCATGCAAGGGAGGGAGTGGGGGGAGGGTTACCTTTTTCACTGGCAACCAGGCATTACATGTAACGTGGTATATTGGAAAACCGAACTGCCACACGCATATTTTCTGTGACAGTGTGAGTATGGAGGTAGGGCTCTAAACAGTTGAGCAGATGTAAGTTTGTTTTTCTCTTGTATTCTTCCCAGGTAAATGTTAATGACAAAGGCAGCCAGTTTGTGAAGGGTTTCCCAGTTGGGTCCAGGTTACACCTAGACAGATGACTACTGTGGTAAATGTGGATGGGAGGTTCCCTAGGACTTTAAAATGAAAGGAGTTTTATGAGGACATGGTAGCTGATTCTGTAATATCCAAATGCAAACAGAAGATTTTAATAAAGCAAGTTTGCTGGCCTGTTTATATTGATATGTGAAGTGAAGGTCTGAGGGCTTTCTGGTGGATTAAATCAAGAGCCTTGGAGGACAGTATGCCTGGTTCTTACCAGGGGATTTTTTCAGCCAAAATTCTCTGAAATATTAGTTCTCTACCAGGCTTTGTGAGTGTTTAGATTTTCATTTACGGTGTGAATACACCACTTTCAGATAAAGCTCAGATAGGCACACCACCTTACTTATTTTCATGCTTGGGACCAAAGCCTCTTTCGCTTGTTGATAGTAGCTTTGAGATTAGTCTGGCTAACATCTCCTTCCCTTTGTGACCATATGCTGTAATTCCATCGGCATGTTTCAATATGTTTTTATCAAATCTCGGGTTTAAATACATGTCATTAATTGGAAACCTGTAATTTTTCCAATACCGTAAGACTTTGTGCTTAGTGTGAAAGCTCTTGTGGGTCCTTGTCTTGTGAGAAGCGAAGTACTACAAGAAGATGGACTTTGCTCTTTTTCTGTCTTTTTTGGATAGGTACAATGGATCTCTCCCAAATGGAGATAGAGGAAGAAGAAAAAGTAGATTTGCTTTATTTAAAAGGCCCAAGGCAAATGGGGTGAAACCTAGCACTGTGCATATTGCTTGTACCCCTCAAGCAGCAAAGGTAAGCTCGACTTGTCCAGCTGTCTTACTTCTCCTGGAGATATTGCTGTTACCCTGAGATGAAATGATGTAAAACACATGAAGTTTTGTCTGCAAAAAGAATGATCCGAGCTTTTTTGGTGCCTGTAAGGATTAGCAAGAAACTGTTCAGCAAAACAAATCTAGTGCCCAGTCCTTGCCGTGTCCAGAAAGAAAAATGTTTATTTTTGAATATGTGAATGTTCAGGGCACTGGGTAGTCATGTAAAACACTTCCTGGTTTGTCTTCCTTCCAAACTCACTACGGACATGCTAGCCTTCCTGTTTTCGCACTCATTCATGCTTTAGGGCTAACTTTGCTTCATGTGAAGCAGACTTTGAGATGGCCCTTTGCCAAAGCTCTGTGCGCACTTGCTAATCTGTTCAATGAGTAGGAGTTCCCCTGGAACAAGGGCAGGTGGGTTTTGCAGGTCATGTTTTACACTGCTTGTAGTCAGGTTCAGAGTTTCCATGAAGAAGTGGCAAAGGAAGTGCTTAGGTCCTGAAGTTGAATTCTATTTCATGTCAAAACTAGTACATTGTATCTAAGGTGTTACCATGAAATGCTTCTGGATTGTGGTGATCAAAGTGTATGTGCAATTATGTTCCACAAGTGGAGCACTTCTACTAAAACCAGTGTAACTTCAAAATGCTTAGTGTTTGTTTAGAGATCTCCAGTGTTGAGATCAGGCGCTTAAATACACTAGTGTTAAGTGTCTGACTCCCTAAAAACCTTCAACACTTAAAAACATTGATTCCTAAATTCAGGCAATGGCATAAAATATTCTGAAATCATAAGCATTTTGCAAACCAAAGTTCTTGTAATAGGATTACATCTGTGGGAGATCTGTGAAAAGAACATTTATCTTGGCTAATTCTTCATAGTCTTCAAGTATTAGAAGCGCATTCAGAAGGGTTTGTCCAGTTCCTGGTAGGTAGTTGCAGAATGAAAATCTGGACTAGTAAACTGAAACCTAGATTACTTTGTTCCAACCTGTGCAACCTGTGCCAAGTTTCTCCATTTTACCCTGTTTACCACCAATACTTGTTAGGTTTTTTGTCTGTGTATCTTAGTAATAATCACAGATTCTTAGTATGAACTCGCACCCTGGTTTTGGAATGACGCCTTTGTTCTCGCTTTGCTGCTGGAGAAGTTCTGAGAAGGCCACAAAGGTGTTCCATTCGGTTTCAGCCTTTGCACTCAGTTGTTTTGTTCTTTCGTGTTACAGCCAGCGTTGCTTTATCATGAAGCATGGCTAATAATAGGTCTTGGTTACGTGTATTTTGTTGCAGTGTGCAGTGAAGAGACCAGTTTGGTCTGCTGCTGAATCAATCCTGCAGCTTTTTTTAAATGGCCAGGACTGGTTTTGGTGAAATGTAATGACAGATGTGTGACTAACAACCAACTGCCTTAATGCATTAATTGAGCTGACCAAGAGCCTGGTTACATTGTCTGCTTTGCTGCTGTATTCAGTAGGGTTATTGTTCACTAGTTCAGTAATATTTGGCTTTTTTTTTTCCGTAGGCAATAAGTAATAAGGACCAACACAGCATATCTTACACTTTGTCTCGGGCCCAGACAGTAGTAGTTGAATATACACATGACAGCAACACAGATATGTTCCAGGTATGTGAAATAAATGTTGTATAAACGCATTCTCACTTTCGGTAGTTTCTGATGAGACATCCTTTCAACAAGCTTTTTCCCTCAGACATGGAAGTGTGCACGTGTCACTTCCTGCACATGAGTGTTCTGAGACATTGAATCCTGCCTGTTCCCAAGGCCGTCGTGTGAACGAGGCTGTGCATCTGCATCTCCCTTGGGCTTGGGTTCTGTGACTAATGCACAGCGTTGTGGTTTTGCCTTTGATTGCCGGTCTGCAAGTCATGTAACCTGTCTCCTAGTCCATCCTTGCAAAACGAAGGACCAAGTTCTCTTTAAGGGTTTGGAACTTTGCCTCCAGTATTTACAGGGGGGTTTGGGAGTTGGGGACAGGGTAGAAGAAATACCATGGGAAACGATAGAAGAGCTATTGACACAGCTAATACAAAAAAATACTGCTAATTCCTTTAAGCAAACCCAGAAATAAGTCTAAAGCAGTGGGAAGCGTGGAGAGAGGAGGCCTGGGTCTGATGTGCTGGCAGTTCAGAGCAGCTTTGCTGGAGTTCCTGTGTGTGTAAGAAGGAACCACGAACACATTTGCAGCTGTGGTGTACGCGGGTATCTTGTAATTGTTTCCTGTTTTTCTCAGAAGGAAGGTTTTTGGTTTTGGGGTCTGTGTGCTTTGTTCCTTCTGATTCCTTGACTGATGTTTGTGCGGATTTTTGTCGTCGTCGTCACTGGTTTATGGCGAGGAGTTTTGCCGTCACAGCCCTTGGCTGTGATGCTGCTGCAGGAGCTGGGAAGTTTTAGTCAGTGGTGGAGGAAGCTGCTGTGCAACTGCAGACACCTACAGCAGAGCCAAAGGGCTGTAACAAACCAACTGCAGCACACGCTCTTGTTTGTAAGTGCTCTCTCTTCCGGCGTGCCGCGGCATGTACGCGGCTCGAAAATTGCCGGTGGCAATCCGTGTATCCTGATGGGTTGTTCTGCTTAAGCAGCAAAGGAGAGATACGTTCTGACCAAGCAGTTTCAGTCTCATGAAAGCTCTTCAGCTTTCACCAAAAAGCACCTCGGGCTTTTTGGTCTCCTGCCCAGCAGCAGCTAATCAGTCTTAATATAACCAGCTATTTCATAAGAGGCTGCTGAGAGCTCCGGAAGTGAGTGAAAGGTGGTAGTGTGTAAGTGGGCTTTAAACCTGGCTACGTTGATGTCTGGGAGAGGGATAAAAAGTCTCTTTATGCTTCATAAGAAAGGACAAGGTGAGTTGACTGGAAAAGCAGTGGAGCCCGGTAGGGTTGTGCGGGACTGCAAAACTCGTTCTTCCACGAGAGGAGCAGCTTTCAAAAGCCTCCGAAAGAAGGCGCAGCTACTAGGAAACTCTGGTTGTAGTCACATGTCGTATTCCCGTTGTGTCCCGTGCATATTTAATGTAAGGCCTCCCCACCGCAAACACCCTGTTCCTGATCTTTCCTGGCAGAGACACTGCTTCTCGGGGCCTCGCCGCAGCTGGCGGGTCAGCTCACATCATCTAGTTTTCCTGCACGGAATCATGGAATGGTACCGGTTGGACGGGACCTTAAAGATCAGCTGCCTACCCCTCCACCTGGCATTGTTCGGAATATTCTGGGCGTGCAAAGTGACGGAATACACCTTTTCTTCCACCCATAACTGCAGTTTCCTAGCTCTTTCGGCATTGCGGCAGCTGGTGCAGCTGACCTGAGTGTAACCTTTCTGATGACAGCGTTACAGGCCCGATGGCTTTATTCAATGGGAAATCATCTTGGAACTGACTTAATTACCACCTCCTATTTCCCCTTCCTTGAGCCGGCCATACTCAACCTTCCGAACAACTTTGATCCCGCCGGGGTAGAATAACTCTTCAGTTCAGATTAGGCTTTAGGAACCTAAACTTCGATTGGTGGAGGGGAATGCTTCAAACTGGAATGTCATAATTATCTTCTTGATTGCTTTGAAATGTGTTTTGAGTTTGAATATTCCCTAGACATCAAGGCAAACTTCTAAACAGGTTGTTTTTTGTTGTTTTGGTTTTTATTAAATCCCTTTCCAGATTGGTCGGTCAACAGAGAGTCCTATCGACTTTGTTGTGACAGATACAGTGCCTGGGAGTCAGAGTAATTCTGATACGCAGTCTGTGCAAAGCACTATATCAAGGTTTGCCTGCAGAATCATATGTGAACGTAACCCCCCTTTTACAGCAAGAATATATGCTGCAGGATTTGATTCCTCAAAAAACATCTTCCTTGGGGTAAGGGAACTCTTTCTTTTTTTCCTCCTGAATTCAGTGCAATCTTATTTTTAAACTAATGCGTAGTTCCACTTCAGCCAAACTAAAATTTTTTCATTGATGTGCTTTCCCTCAGGAGAAAGCTGCAAAGTGGAAGACATCAGATGGGCAAATGGATGGGCTAACCACAAACGGAGTTCTTGTTATGCATCCCCGCAATGGATTTACGGAAGACTCCAAGCCAGGGGTGTGGAGAGAAATATCCGTGTGTGGGAATGTGTTCAGCCTCCGTGAAACCCGATCGGCCCAGCAGAGGGGAAAAATGGTGAGAGTACTGGCTGATGTTTTAGGCAGCCTGTTTGAAACAGGTACAGCTTGGGTACCATCGACAGAGGCTGCAACTTCCCTCATTCAGTGTATGTGTTGCCTCTGTAATTAGTTACACTGACTCCTCATGTGTCTCTGTTCGTACATATGAAGCGGTTTTGCTCAGCCTGAATAACTGAGACTTAGCTGCAAAGTTGTACTTCAGTGCAGACCGAGACTGCTCTCCGGGGTTGGCGGTCTATTAGGCCGTCCTGCAAACTCTGTCATGCATGCATTTTAAAAGGTGTCTTCCCGATTCTCCATCTCGAGTTTATGCTTTTAAGATTTTCCTGCTTTTCTTCTAGAGAATAATAAAGGATAATTGTAGCTTTACTGACACACACCTCTAAACCTGGATATCCATTTCCCTTTTGGCATTCTGAATTTCTTGTTTCCAAAGCAGCGGTGACATTTCCAGGAGGTGATGTGTTTTAGTCTGACTTGGCTTCTCTTGGGGAAAAAGGAATACTATGTGGACACTTATTTAGGTGATGCACGTAGCTAGAAATGCTGGCAGCTGACTTATTCTGGAGGAGAGGAAAGCCACGTGTAAAGGTGTGTTTGAAGAAAACAGTCTGAGATGTAGGGGAAGGCCAGGCAAGACTTGTTAAGAAAGCGTGTGTGGTTTTTGGTGGGGTTTCTTTTTCCAAGAAAAGAGGGGAAGGAGCAGCTTACACTGGGCTCTGAGTAAGTATCTTGTAGAGGATGGTCAGGAGCGGCTTGACACTTTGTCTGGATCTTCCAGGCAGATTTGTGTTACGTGACCCTTCAGGTAACCTTAGGTGACCCCTCTTTCTCTTGGTCCGTCGCAAGGTTGAGAACGAAACCAACCAGCTCCAGGATGGCTCTCTGATTGACCTGTGCGGAGCAACGCTGCTGTGGCGCACTGCGGAAGGGCTTTCGCGCACTCCCACCGTCAAGCACCTGGAGGCCCTGAGACAGGAGATAAATGCAGCGAGGCCCCAGTGTCCGGTGGGGTTTAACACCTTGGCGTTTCCCAGCATGAAGAGAAAAGATGTTGTAGACGAAAAGCAGCCGTGGGTGTATCTGAACTGTGGCCATGTCCACGGCTATCACAACTGGGGAAACAAAGAGGAGAGAGACGGCAAGGATCGCGAGTGCCCCATGTGCCGCTCCGTCGGCCCTTACGTGCCTCTGTGGCTTGGATGCGAAGCGGGATTTTACGTGGACGCGGGACCTCCGACTCATGCCTTCAGCCCCTGTGGACACGTGTGCTCGGAAAAGACGACGGCGTATTGGTCCCAAATTCCTCTTCCTCACGGTACTCACACTTTCCACGCAGCCTGTCCCTTCTGTGCGCATCAGCTGGCTGGTGAGCAAGGTTACATCAGACTCATTTTCCAGGGGCCTCTTGACTAACGCATGTCTTACCCAGGGCTGCAGTGAACTGATAAGCTAAGCGATTCTGACTTTTAAACCAACTCTTTTTCATATTTTCTGGGCTTTGCATTGAGATGAAGAATTTTGGGGGTTTGTTACAACAGCTAAATCCCTCTCCATTGAGAAAAGTCAAACGGAAGAAGCGGGGGGAGCGTGGGGGGGATGGTGGGGAGAACCCCTGCTTGTTTTTTAGTTAAGCTCTTCTGAAGGGGTGTGAAGGAAGTGGTGTAGAGTGAATTTTGATGCCTTCTGTTCAATGGTTTTTGACTCACATGCCCACAGTGTTTGGAAGTTGTTTCATCCTTTTTGTATATGGAGGGTAAATAGTTCAAAGAACATTGGTTTACAGCTTGGATGCAAATGTTGTAAAATATAACATGTATATGAACTCTTTTCTATTTATCTTTGTTATGGAAAATCAGTAGAACGATTAGAGAGTAGCGTGGTCGTAGCGTGTTACATCTGGCAGTTGGATGCGTAGCATAGTTCTGGGTGGAGAAGGAGGTGAGAGGGGAACGGTAGAGAAAAAATACCCTTTTTTTAATCTAAAATCCTGAGTTCTTTAGAATAGTTAAAATGCTTTTTAAACAGAGCTCATGCAGATTGTGACGGCATAAAGGTGTGCTTCAACAAGGTTGAAAGGTAGCTGAGGAGGGCTTCCTAAACTGTCTTTGTGGTAGGGCTGTGCTTAACATCTGGTTATGAGGAAAACAGTTACCAGACTCTTTGAATATGCAACTTTAGTCTAGATTAAGGATTTTTTTTTTTCCTCCCTTTATGCTAACACATCTCTTTACTTAGCATTAGTGGCATTGGTGAGGGTTTTCCCCATGTTCGACGTGAACAAACCTGAAAGGCGCTGTGTGTGGCAGGGGAGGAAGAGGTGGGTGCGCCCACGCGCGTACGGGGGGAGCAGGGAGCGATCTGTGTGTTGGCCGGGGTCCCGCCTCGTGGCAGGCTTGGCCGTTGGATGTTCTGCCTTTCGCCAGGCCCCTTGCCTTCCCCCTGCCCCAGGGTGCACGTGCTCGCCCAGGCCACGCACGGAACGGAGCTGAAGCCGGTAGCCAGGGGACGTGTGCCCGCGTCCCTGACGCAGTTGGCCATGGGAGAGCTTGGCGAGGGACTGGGCTGGACTCCAGACCTTGGTGCGGGGTGCTCGGGTAAGGCCTGCTCGCGCTGAGGTGGGCTGCAGGTAGCAGTCTGGCTCCATGCTTTCCCGTCCCTACGCCTCACTTCCCTCCGTAGCCACCAGGAAAGGCCAGTGCACTACATCCGGCTTTGCTGCTAACCCCCTGTGCTTCGTGGCAGAGAGACAGCCTGACCTTTTTAGGATTGAGTTGAGGTTTTTTTGGCCAGCTTCACACTTTTTTTAAAAAAACCCAACTGTGTAATTGACAGTAGCACATTTCTGTTACTTTATAGCATAGCTTTAATTTTTCCTTTCAAAGCTGTTCTAAAATCTTCTTGGTTTCGAGAGACCTACGTTGCTTAGATGTCATGAATTATTTACTTTGTCAGGTTTTTTCTCCATTTTAAAAAAGAACAAAACAATTTTATGTATTGTTTGGTTCACTCAGGAAATGCATGTGTCAGGAAACCTGTATTAGAAGTTCAGTTAGCTGTCCTGTACAAGCAACTGCTGTTACTCCCTTTCCATAGGAATACAACTGATTTTGACATTTTCCAGATTATATGCATTAAGCAATGAAACTTATGCAGCAAGAAATCCCTGTATTGTAGTTGTTTTAATCATTTTATTCAAGCTATATTATACTGTAGTTTAATTTTTATTTGCAAATTAATTTATTCAAACTACGTGAGTAAACCTTTTCAAAAACGGAGATTCTGGGGTTGTCTGTTGCCTTGTTTCCAAGAGATTGGAAAGGTGGCTGGAGACGGCCCTTCTGCTGTCACGGGAGGGCTCTGCTCTGCACGTGTGTGGATTAAGGTCACGAAAAAGCAGCGGCTGTGAAGAGTTTGCATGCTCTGAGCCATGGATTTGAATGGCTCCTTTCGGATGCGACCTCTCGGTGTGTCCTATACTTAACCCTACCTCAACAGAGGTGGGATCGCGGTTCAAGAGACATCGTTAAATGATCTGTGCCCTGAGTTAAAAATCATGAAATGTAAGCAAAAAAAA